TTTTCATTAAATTAGAAATATCCAGTTCCTGCAACCGTTCTTCATATGATTTAGCCTCCAGTCCCCTAATCATCTTTGTTGCTCTTCTCTGCACTCTTTCTACAGTCCCCACATCTTTTTTACATTGTGGCGACCAAAACTGAATGCAGTATTCCATGTATGGCCTTACCAAGGCATTATAAAGTGGTATTAACACTTCACACGATCTTCATTCTATCCCTCTGTTTATGCAGCCTAGAGCTGTGTTGGCTTTTTTGGTAGGAATGACTGACCCAAGATCACTCAGTAGCCTTCATGCCTAAGACACGACTAGATCTCATGGTATCTTGGTTTCTAGCCTGTTACCTTAACCATTACACCAAACTGTCTGCCTGTCCCCTGCTCACTTCTAGTACTCAAACATATATTTGTGATTTAATTTTATTAATTCCAACTATATGTATTTTAGCATCAAGTTCTACTTGCCAATAAAAAAAAGAATGATAAAATAAATAACTACTTTCACAAACTAAAGCCTGCCAACTCCTGTAGTAGTAAATTCAGTTTTCTTTCACATTTGGCTTTTATCCTATAAACATTTGGGTTGGAACACATTAGCCTTCAGGGCTCTCTAAGAAATGTATCCGGATGGGGTCCTGACACATTAATAGATACTAGTGACTGTGAGAATATATGTGTATCTAAATAGTCATCCCATGTTTTTCTTCATGTTTTCCCATCTTTTTTTCTGACCACAAAAAGTTAGGAAGAAAGGAAGATATAGTACACATACACCATCTACTGACTTTCCTTCTGAAGCACATTGTGCCTCAGTTCCCATCTACCAAAGAATAAATTAAAGCTTCCTTGAATCTTTGAAAGCTACTATAGACCAGGTCATAGTATTCTTCAGTGGAAAACTAATACAGTGTTATCTACTGTCTGGTGTAGATTTCCTGAACTTCCTGGAGATTTACTGACTAGTACCAGATTTCTAAAATCTTCAGGAAGTTCCACACAGGTTCTTCAAACCATTGCAGAAGAAGCTGAGCACTTCTATGATCACATGTTGTTTACTGTGCCCAGTAATCAAGCCATTTTATTTCTGAATTAACTGCAATGTAACTTTAATTACACAAAAACCAAATGTTCCTTTTTCAAGATTGAAGTTCTGTAAGACCTGAGGTCTGGCTGTTTTCTTACTGTAGAGACTTGCCTAGCCCTGCCATGTGGTCTCTAGAAGTCAGCCAACATCTTACTTCTCTACATAAAAAATCATCCTCTATAGGTCTTTTAACTGCAACTTCTCACTGATGCCTCCCCTCCCGAAAATGCACAGAGCATGAATTAAATTTATCAATGGAGGCAGAGCTTCCATTGAATCTTGCTTGGTTAATGTTCTCCTATTTGACAACAGTAAGGAAGTTGTGATTAGGTCTTCTTCGCTTCTTGGTGTTTTGAAATTGGCAGCAGTGATGATCAATGTGCATAATTTTCAACCAATTCTGATGGATTGGGAAAAGAAAACTGGCAATGTTGACACAGATAGAAATATTCTTAGATGCTAAGACACAGAAATATTCTCATAATGTTAAGAAGTTGTCCTAGATCTTTTTACACATAGGAGATACGTTCTACCACTAAATTCGAATGCTACAGAGATAAGGAAGAGTTGTAAGAGTTGTACACTTTGTGTTGTGGATTTAAAATATTTCAAAAGTAACAAGCAGAGAGAGTACTATCTCTTTCCTTCTCCTATTTCATACCTACTATATGTAGGCAGGAGGAAGAAAAAAGTTCTGAGTCAAATTTTCAATTTGGCATCTGGAAACTCTCATGATGAGATTAACCTTTATAAGGCAAAGTTCTAAAAGGAGAATGCAAAATTAGATTAAAATTTGCTTGATCCAGCATTTTATCCTCACAATAGATGATGGATGACATCTATTGTGAGGATAATAGTAGCAGGATATGAATGAAATACTAGTCCCACTCTGATATTCCATAGTAAATAGTATAATATCCCTGATACAAGGGACAATTGTTTTTAAATTTGGAGAACCACTGAGAGCTTCTTTTAGATTATCCACTGTATGTACTGAATCTTCCCATCTCTCACTTTTACTAGATGGTCCATATTCTAGTTTTATGAGGACCATACCAGCTATATAAGGAAGGGGTATCATTTGACTCATGCTGTGATTATCACACTCAATTTTCCATCCCAATTGTGTCCCGTTTGTCACTTGTTTGTAATTTCTCTCCTGCAGGGGCATTCCTAGTTCCTTATTTCATTATGTTGGCTATATGTGGGATACCCATCTTCTTCATGGAGCTGTCATTAGGCCAGTTCTCAAGCCTGGGGCCTCTTGCTGTTTGGAAGATAAGCCCACTCTTCAAAGGTCTGTATGCAATGCTAATCTAGTTTCGTCATCAAGCCTGTCTTCATTTCTTTTGCAGACTAAATTCTTATGGTTGACAGTGGAACAGGTTAGTCCTCATGCATTGTAGAGATGAAAGTAGAGCCTTCCTTACCACAATAGGTGAGAACAGTAATTGAATACTGGAAGTATGCTTTCATTACTGTGAAAGTGAAAAAATATTTGGGAATTTTTTTTTCTCTCCCATGTTTTTAGAAGTGTGACTGTCCAGGTGGACTAACACGAGACAGATTGAATATAGATTTTTTTTTTACAAAGCTGACACATTTCAAAATTAACTCACTGCAAATTATGTTAGAACAGTGTTCTAGAATTCAATAAATTCCAAATGTGTTAAGAATGAATGAAACTATTCACATTCCCAGCCGTTTTTCAAAAAAAAAATTAGGATTTAAAAATCCATTTAGGATTTTGAAAAAATAGTGCTAACTTTAATGCATGATCCAATGCACTTAAAGCAATAGAAGATAGCAGGACTATTGATGCCCTCACAAGGTGGCTAGAAAGAGCTAGCAGTCTCAACTGAGTTCATGGGATGCATTTATAGCAATAGCATTTAGATGTCTATGGAGATTTTCCATTATCCAGATCATGGTTGTCCCAAAGGTGCTTTTTCAAGAGGCTCTGGACTTTCTGGGGGCGTTTTTTGAAAACATTTTGCTTCTTCAGTTCTGACTGGATGGTTGGGAATGGGAGTATAAATCCTTCCATTCCCCACCACCCAGTCAGAGCTGAAGAAGCTTCTTGAATGAGAAATGAAATGCCTTCAAAGAAAAAACCAGAAAGTCCAGTCGTCTCTGGAAAAAATACCTTTGGAACAATAGCATTTAGGTTTATATACTGTCCCATAGTGCTTTACAGCAGTCTCTGGTTAGTTTACAATGTCAGCATTATTTGCATATTGCCCCCAACAATCTGGGTTCTCATTTTGTCAACCTCGGAAGCAGTGGTGGGATTCAAATAATTTAACAACCGGTTCTCTGCCCTAATGACCATCTGGGTAGGTGGAGCTCAGTGGTCATGTGACTGGGTGGGCATGGACCTTGGCCAACTCAAGGTCACTCAGGTCAATGGACCTTAGCTGTGACAATGTAATAAGGGTTAACCGGAGAGGCAGTTTCTGTAAGCAGGTCAATAAAGATNGCCCCCTTTCTTTAAGATGAGAGACTAAGTTGAAAATTGACCCCTCTCAGCTCACTAGTCACCAGGGGTCACAGTCACAGTCACAGTCACTCGGCTCCAGCAAGTTCAAATAGGCTGGCCAGAGAAGAAAAGTGTAAATGCTGTGAGTCAGCTGTTTGGCGCCGCCATCTTTCCCTCCACGCTTTCCTTCTAGCTCCAGCAGCTGCCGTTCCGCTGCTCAGGGGGCGACTGGTAGGACCAGGGGCCAGCAGATAAATGGCCAGGGGACTCACCAGGCAGCACCAGGGGCTCCCAGGGATCCAAAGGTGGTAAGGGGAGTCGCCGAATGTCCGCGCGCCGCTGTCGCCGCCGCGCGCCGCCGTCGCTGCCGTCCCCACGCAGCTGGGTGACTCGGGCTGCTGCTGTGAGGGAACGCTAAGCCTCCAGGTTTCTTCAGGTCCTTTGGGTTCCGCAGGGCTTAGGCTCTCCCAGGGACTCTTTCCAGAAATTTTGTGGTCTGTTTGGAAGGCTTCCCGGTGCTTTTTCGCCAAGTTTGCATGGAGCGAAAAAGCCCGGTCGCCATTCCAAACCCGCACATGCGCAGAAAAAAAAAGGGGGGGGGAGGAGGGGGAACCTTTTGCCTAGAAGCCATTCCAAGTTTAATCTTCTTCAGCCAATTAGTAATTCTATGCAAGCCAATTGTACAACAAGTTAGTTTGATGACAAATCAGTCTTTTCTTTAGATGTTCTAAGCTCCGTAGAAATATTTGCTACGAAGCTGCTCGGTGCCATTTTGTATATCTCTTTAGCAAGTAACTTATCAGAAGGAATTCTTTTAAAAATGAAGCTAAGGATTAATACATACGATTAGAAGTTCACGAGTAAAGGCTCTGCCTGTTCTGGAATCTGTAAATCAAACTTTATGCTTGTGCTGAGGATGAGTGGATGCCTTTGTTCTGCAAATAAAAAAAGAAGAAGTTCTTGGCGCATAGAATACTATGCTGTCGGGTGCCCCTCCTTCCTTTTCCAGATTTATGGTCTGGGAAGGTTGGTTGGAGCGCTGCCCAGGCATAATTAGCTCACCTTCTTCTCCTAAGCCCGAAGAAGAGGTAATCAATCTGTCAAACAGCTGATGAATTGCTGTTTAGACAGCCAAAAATCTGGAGCTGTTAAGAACAACAAGCTCCCACAGCCCCCCCCCCCTCACCGGAAGTCCACACACATACCATTAAACAACCTTGCAACTTACTGTTTCTTTATACGAAAGGGAATCAAAGTATATTCACACCATCTTTTACCATCAACATACTTGCATTTGCACTGCAATCAGACTGCTTGTGTAAATCAATTTCACATTCAAAAATCCCATTTCATTATTTCTTCATGCAAAGCAATCACTACAATTATGTCAGGGAGCTGTTCATAAGCCAATGAGATCCATTTTCTATTATTAAAGAATTTCAACTTACCCTCCAGATCTGGAAATGATAACACACACACACACACATCCTCGAGTTTTACTGTGTATGATCAAGGACCGGTAATTCCAATTACAGTTACAGGAATCCACAACGTTCCCCCGGTGTAATTGTGTACATATACTCAATCTCCTATGGTGAAAGACCTAACTTTGCTTGGGGCCATTGTCAGAGACTAGGACATCGGGGAGGCTGTGTGTAGAGAATAGTCTCCATAGTACCTTGATGAACGATTCTGCTGTAGTGGAACTCATCAGGACTACTTCTAACCATTTTGAATGAGTGTCCACAATTATGAAGAACGTTTGGCCATGGACTGGTCCAGCGAAGTCAATGTGTATTCTGGACCATGGTGCTTGTGGGCGCTCCCACTCCTTGGTGGGCACTTCCGGGGAAGCCGGTCTGGATTCCTGACAGGGCGTGCATGTAGCCATCTGTTTTAGTCCTCCAGGCTACGACTGACAGCCAGCAACAGCCAGGACATGCCTGATTGGCTAAGGCACAGCATGGCTGAACGTGGGCTGCCAGATGTGAGCCTATTGGCCTCCCTGCTTGACAGCTCCGTATAAATAGCTGTCAAGCAGGGCGGAGCCCCG